GCGTTGTTCTGTTTGCTGTTTGGTGTTTGTTGTTGTTGTTTGTTGTTTGTTGTTTGTTGTTTGTTGTTGTTTGTTGTTTGTTGTTTGTTGTTTGTTGGTTGTTTGTTGTTGTTTGTTGCTGTTTGTTGTTTTGTTGTTGTTGTTGTCGTTGTTGTTGTTGTTGTCGCTATCTTTGTCGCTGTCGCAGTGTTGCCGTTGCCGTTGCCTGCCGTTGCTGTCGTGTTGTCGTTGTTGTCGTCGTCGTGTTGTTGTTGTTGTCGTTGTCGTTGTTGTTGTTGTTGTGGTTGTTGCGGTTGTTGCGGCGGTTGCGGTTGCGCTTGTAATTTCGGTTGCGGTTGCGGTTGAGGTTGCGGTTGTGGTTGTGGTTGTAGTTGTTGTTGCTGTTGCTGTTGAAGCAGCTGCTGCTGCTGCTGTTGCTGTTGCTGTTGCTGTAGCTGTTGCTGTCGCGGTTGCTGTTGCTGTTGCTGTCGCTGTTTCTGTTGTTGCGCTTGTTGCGGTTGTTGTTTGTTGGTTGTTGGTTGTTGGTTGGTGGCGGTTGGTGGCGGCGGTTGGTGGTTGGTGGTTGGTGGTTGGTGGTTGGTGGTTGGTGGTTGGTGGTTGGAGGTTGGCGGTTGGCGGTTGGCGGTTGGCGGGCGGCGGTTGCTGGTTGGGGGTTGGGGGTTGGCGGTTGGTGGTTGGTGATTGGTAGTTGGAGGTTGGTTGTTGGTTAGTTGTTTGCGGTTGCTGTCGCGGTTGCTGTTGCTGGTTGCTATTGCTGTTGCTGTTGCTCTTGCTGTCCCTGTTGCTGTCGCTGTCGCTGTCGTTGTTGTTGTTGCGGCTGTGGCGGTTGTTGGTTTTTGGTGCTGCTTCTTCTGCTGCTGCTTGCTGTTGTTTGCGGCGGTGGTGGTGGAGGCGGTGGTGGCGATGGTAGTGGTGATGGTGGCGGCGGCGGTGGTGGCGGTGCGGTGGTGGTGGCGGTGCGGCGGCGGTGGTGCGTTGGTGTTGCTGTTGGCGCTGGTGTTGCTGCTGCTGGTGCTGTTGCTGCTGTTGCTGTCGCTCTTGTTGCGGTTGTTATTGACGGTGGCGGTGGTGCGTGTGTGTCACGTCTTCGTGTCTGCTGGTTGGAATTCGATGGCAGAATGTGGGTCGCCGCTTCAAAAGACGCAGGTCCAAAACACACAGCCGAAGCGGGCGGCTTTGGCTGGAACCCCCTGCAATTGGAGGTTACACATTGCTGGTTTGTCTTCCGCAATAATCGTGGTAAGATGATTGAATTTGTCCCGTGCGCTGCGGCGTTATGCGTCGGTGCTGTCTCAAACGCAGCAGGCTAGCATGTGTGGATCCTCGTCTGCGTCCCGCGTGCGTCAGCGACATGTCGATTCGCCAACGGTGCATGCTGCAACGCGTCGCTTGGCCACGTTAGTTTGACAACAGCAGTACCTTGCTTAACCAGACACTTCTACCAAAAAACGGCAACGATGCGTGGGGCGTTGATGCAATCGTCGTGCCCGCACGACACTGTAAGAACTGAAGCTATTCTTGGCCAACTGTTAATTTTTGCAATTGCGCTCACTTTGCTCCTAATTCCGGCGCTCGAGGATTTGTTGAATTGATGCTTGTCTTGATCTTCACTTGAATGAAAGGGCTGCTGCTGCAAGGTTGCCTGCAGTGATATCAAACACCGTCGGCTCCGTGCGGCTGTTACGCTGCCCATAGTCTTCCAGTTTCTTCCCGTAGTCTTCCGGGACCAGGGCGCGCGCATTCTGAACCTTCCTTTCCTCTGACCTTGATCCCGTAGTTCTCCGGCTTCCTCCCATAGTCTTCCGCTTCTACCTGTAGTCTTCCAGCTTCTTCCAATAGTCTTCCGACTTCCCTGTGCAGTCCTCTGGCTTCTTCCCGTACTTTTCCCACTCAGTCTTCCAGCTTCTCCCCGTAGTTTTCCAGCTTCTTCCCGTAGCCTTCCGGCAAGTTCCCTTCCGACAGGCGTTTTGGACGTCTTTCGGCGCAATCTCCCCGTAGTTTTGCGTCTTCTTCCCGTCGTTTTCCGTAGCCTCCCTAGTCCAAACGACGCGCAGTTTGGGCCTCTTCAACGTAAATCGCAATCTTTGCTCTCGGGCTGCTTCCCGTAGTTTTGCAGCTTCTTGTACTCTTCCAGCTTCTTCTCGTAGTCTTCCAGCTTCGTCCTCCAGCTTCTCCCGTAGATTTTTCCAGCTTCTCCCTGTAGTTTTCCGGCTTCTTCCCGCCGTTGTCCGTAGCCTTCCTAGTCCAAACCACGCGCGGCTTGGACCTCTTTCAACGTAAATCGCGCGTTCTTTGCTCTTGGGCTTCTTCCCGTAGTCTTCCAGCTTCTTCCGGCTTCTTCGCGTAGTCTCCCAGCTTCTTTCGGCTTGATCCCCTCCCCGTAGTCTTCCAGGTTCTTCGCTTTGGACGCGTTCGACGCATCGCACACCCACAAGCTTCCGGCTTCTTCCAAGAAGTCTTCCAGTTTCTTACCAGTCTTCCAGCTACTTCCCATACTCTTCCGGCATCTTCCTGTAGTCTTCCGGCTTCTTCCATCTTCTGGGGCGCGCGTTTTCGATTGGACCTCTCTCAACGCAAGACTAAACCGCGCGTCCTTTGCACTCAGGCTTCTTCTCGTATTCTTTCGGCGTCTTCCCGTAGTCTTCCAGCTTCTTCCCGGCAGTCTTCCGGCTTCTTCCTGCAGTCGATCGGCTTCTTCCCGTATTCTTACAGATTCTCCGTGTAGACTTCCAGCATTCTCCCAAAGTCCCTGCTACGGAACAGGAAAAAAGCTGGAGGAATACGAGAAAAAGCTGGAAGACGCGAAAAACTACGGGGAAAAAACGAAAAACCTTGAAAAAAAAAACAGGGAGCAAAGGATGCGCGATTTAGCGCGTTTTGCGTCCAAAGAGGTCCGAAACGTGTGTCCTTCGGTCAGAAGCCCTCTTTCGACGCAAAACGCGCTAGATAGCGCGCCCTCTGGTTCATCCGGTAGTCTTCTGAATGCCTGAGGGCTCTTTGCGCAACGCAGTACGGACAACGCACGCCACTCATGTCACCGCCGTTGTGGCATCCCGATCAACTGAACAGGGTCATGCCCGCATACAAATGCGGTTGGGAAGAGTTTGAAACACTATAGGACGCGCGTTTTGGACCTCTTCCTCCATTTGCTTTCAACACAAAACGATGCTATAGCACGCGTCCTTTGCTCTCGGGCTTCTTCCCATAGTCTCCCGGCTTCTTCCCGTAGTCTTCCAGCTTCTTCCCGTAGTCTTCCGCGGTTAAAGGGCGCCCTTTTTGGATGCGCATCAAGTCCGTGGTCTTCTAGCTTCTTGTTGTAGTGAACTTTTACTACTACTAAGGTAGTAGTGGCAGTGGTAGTGGCAATGGCAGTGGCAATGGTAGTGGCAGTGGTAGCGCTAGTGGAAGTAGTAGTGGTAGTCCACCAGGGATTCGGAACCGAAAGCGGCCATTTCGAGCGCATCTCGGCCGGAGAAAACGAAATGAGCCTCTAAAGAATGTGGAGTCCTTTGGCTCTAATCCACGCGCGTGTGGTTCTACGTTTTTGCGTATGCAGGCAACAGCTGTGTGTGTGGCCTTGCCTCCGAGCGCGTGTGGTTCCAAAACGCGTGCGGGTGGCCTCGCACGCGTCCCAGTTCAAACATGACGCCAGAATTAATTGCAAAGTATCAGGCAAGCTTTCATGGGAGTAGAAGCAGAGACCAGCCAAACAACACGAGTCAACATGCTTCCCATGGTCTTGCGCCTGCGGCCTCCCTGACTTTGACACAACAGCATCAGCAAACTAGAAAGCCAAAGCGGCGAACAAAAGCCAAGAGGCCAAGCATCTTGCTTCAAGCAAGCAAGCAGGCAGGCAAGCAAGCAAGCAAGCAAACAAAAAGGCAAGCAAAGCAAAGCAAAGCAAAGCAAAGCAAAGCAAAGCAAAGCAAGCAAAGGAAGGCAGGCAGGCAGGCAGGCAGGCAGTCAAGCAAGCTAGCGAAGCAAGCAAGCAAGAAAAGGAAGCAAGAAAAGGAAGCAAGCAAGCAAAGCGAGCAAAGGAAGGCATGCTGGCAGGCTGGCTGGCAGGCAGGCAGGCAGGCAAGGCAGGCAGGCAGGCAGGCAGGCAGGCAGGCAGGCAGGCAGTGAGTCAGTCAAGCAAGCTAGCGAAGCAAGCTAGCTAGCTAGCTAGCAAGCAAGCAAGCAAGCAAGCAAGCAAGCAAGCAAAGGAAGCAAAGCAAGCAAAGCAAGCAAAGCAAGCAAGACTTGGCAAACGTGTCGAAACCTCTCCATGCTGCAAAACACCAAAGAACTGTGCTGCCAGCAAGCCCACAAGAAACAAAACCTCACATTCCAGATCCATTACATCGCCCATATATAGCCCAGTCTGCGGCACGCCCTCGCTATTTTCTGCTGACTCAGCTCCAGAAGATTGGTATGTCATGGATGAAAATTCAAACCAAGTGAGCGCAAACGCACCCATAGTCCCGGCAGCACATGGCTCATCCCAACGATAAAGGAATGTTTGTACTGGTACGCACAACAGCAAGCAGACTCAAAGTGGTCTGCGCCAAGGAGCCACCAGGACAAATGCAAGCTGAACACCTCCAACAAGGTCAGAACAGCCTGCTGCACATGTCTGTCATCTGTACAGAGTCCATGGACCATCGCGGACAACGCCTCAATGTTGGACTTTGGAGCAGACTTCGCCACAACGGGACAACGGGCAAGTCCCCAGCCAGCATTTGAGTCCGGGGAAGTCCCAAGCGCCGCAACGTGCGCTACAGAGTCTCTGTCACTAACTCAGGCTCTGTTTCACGAAAGATTGACTGTGATCGGATGCCGCCACACCCGGCCACAGTTACGAGCTACCAAGCTCGGACACAGGCAGTGCCCCTCATCACTTCTTCAACGGGGATGTGCTCCGCAAAGGCCTCTGCTCCGCAAAATCAAAGTGACCCTGGCAGAACCCCTCATCCTCTGCCCTGACGGAAATTTAGAACACGGAGCAAGTAAAACACGGAGCACGTTGTGGCTTTTGAGCTTGGGCTGTATATGTGGGTTGGAGTCGGGTGCAACATGCCTTGCGATCCTTGCGCAGCCTGCCTTTTCATCGACTTCCGGCCGCTCGAGCACCCGCTTGGCCACGAAAATGCCAAACTTGTTGCCCACCAGGCGTTGCATCTGCAAAGCAAACGTCATGCTGAAATGATGACATGCAAGAATCGACATCCCACTAGGTACCAGGCAACATCAGCCCTGGCCAGGCAGTGCAAGAAGAGCTTTTGGTCCTCTCTACTGCGCGAGAACTATTGCTCAACAAAGAATGATCACTGAAAGCTCCTCGACTTTACAGTGCGTCAGCGCAGATTCCAGCAAATAGCTGGCCTGCGCAGAACTTCACACCAATCAACCGGCACACAATGGCAACCAGGCTCGAGACGCGCGCACTGCGATGCATGGCATTGCCCTCCAAGTCATATTGAAGGACTTCGGCCAGGTAATCCTTGTGCCTCACCACATCTGCCATTGCTAATCTGCAAAGCTCTACCAAGCCCGTCCTCTGCAGCCAATGACCCCCATGCTCCAGAATGCCCTGGGCCACATGATGCCCGAAGTTGTGCCGGCAGAGGTCTTGAGCCTGGGCCGTTCTTGGTCACACCGTCGCAAGCTGTCACGTGCGCTTTCTCAGCGCCTCGGAAAGACTGCTCAGCAGCTCGTCGATCACCAGCGAGACAATCGTCGCATACTTCTCCTCCGGCATCGCAGACTTGTGACTGACATCCCCTCATCTGTGAGGCATTTGCTTCAAGAGGTTGGCACCCAGGAAGACTACGAGGCATGGATTGCTGCCCATCAAGCTGGTGCTGCTACTTCTCTTAGAACGCAACAATAGTCGCGTCACATTGCTGCAAATCATGCGCTATCGCAGATCATGAGGTTTGCCTTGTTTGTACATTCATTGCAATGGACTGCTGTCTGCAGGCTCATTAGGCCAACGCTTGTGGTAGGGGCTGCTGCTGCTATTGCTCATTGGTGGGTCAATTATTTCGTGGAGACATGCCGCCTGCCTCGCTTGGCAAGTACTCCAGCAGCCGGCAGATGATCCGGCAACCATAGCGGTGCCGGGCCTCCGATCCAGTAATCAGAAATAAGCGCGCACCAATCAGAAATACCCTCTGGTAGCAGTGCTTTGGGGTGCTTGCTAGGCTGCACGTCGAGGCCCACGCGAATCTTGCGGCATTTCCAACAAGCTCCTCTGCAATGAAGATGAACGATGCAGGGCTCAGCTGGCTGATCACCTGCGAGACATTTGCTTGACTGAGCAAAATTGAGAGATCTTTGGAGACCAGCACGGAACTCACTATGCTCAGGTGGCACATGAACAGCCGCCGCTCCTTCTGCAACACATAATTGGCATGGGGCGAAGCAGCTGCTTCTCGAACATGGCCGCGAAGCTCGCCGGCAATCTCCTCAGAGAAACCCGCTCCTCTCAAAACATCAGCCGTGGATAGGCCGCACTCTTGTCCTATCTCCCCTACAACTTGGCTTGACAACATTCAACATTGTCTGGCTGCTCACTTCACGGCTAGTGGCAAAACAATACAACTGGTCGTGCTTGCCCAGTTACTCGCTTTTGCTACGACAACTCTGGAATCCATGATGATCAATGCAGTACCTGAGTCCTTTGTTGTTGACCCTTCTTTTCTCGCCCCTTTGCATCTCTGAGTGAGAGTTAAGAATTGGTTTGACTGTTATGTTCACTGCATTGCTAACGGGCCTTGGCCGCCGCGGGACTGGCCACTGCAATAGCAGTCTGCACCTGAACTTTTCGGCGAGCTTAAAGCGGTGACAAACGTATCTGAAGGCTGGGTGCAAGCATTTCCCTCTGCGCAGAACTAAGTTTCAAGGGTCAAGCATCTGTTAGCCAGATTGGAATCGTGATCAACGGCCTTGTCTCATTCCGTTGCCCGCCCTGATTCAACAACTGAACGGCTCGGCCTGGGCAAACCTGCATTTTGGAAGGGGTCAAAGCCAAAGACAAACATACCCCGTCTGCAATTCACTACAAGCGCATCCCCAGTTCCAACAACTCTGGCCGGCCGACACTCTTGGTGGGGAACTATGGATGTTCTGGGATGAGGAGTACGCCTCATCGATCTTGCTGCTGCAGCTTTCTAAGTGTCGCACCAAACGGCATCCCAATGCATCTCGCGAAAGCTGCCACACCTGTGATTGCCGTGCCAACGCAAGTTTGCATGTATTCAGATTTCAGAGGGATTGCGTGATGAGCATTTGTCCAAACCATCCAATTTAAAGCCACTGGAGGGAATGACGTGCCATTCCCTCTTCACTTAGATAAGTTGATCACACCCATCAGGGCGCCTCACCCTGGGCTTTGACATCCAAAGAGCTAAATGCAGCTCCGGCACCAAGCTGCGCATCTCCTGCAAGGCAGCCTTCTGCTCCGCTTGGCCCCCCTGGCAGCTCGGCCCACATGCTTTCATGTGAGGACAGAATTAAGGTGTATAGGCTAGCATGCAAGTGCACCGCTTGTTCATGGACTACAGATCAAACCGTGGGCTGAACTCAAGTGTTCCCGAGTACGATAATGATTGGCGCGATTGACGCTGGTGCTAAAGGGCACGCATTTTGGGGTGCTGGTGCAGGTGCTGTTTTGGGGCCCTCACGCAGGTGCTGTTAAAGGTGCTGGTGATGGCGTGGGGGTGCGGGCGATTGTCTGCAGCACTGATCGGGTGTCGCTTGAGCAGGTGTGCTTACCATTTGGCAGGCTTGTGCGCAGTGCTGAGCAGGTACACTTGAGGGCGTGCACTTGCCATTTGGCAAGCATTTGTGCAGTGCTGAGCGAGGACAGTTGAGCAGGTGTGATTTCTATTTGGCAGGCGTGTGTGCAGCGCTGAGCGGGTGCACTTGAGTCGTTCCTCGCAAGTGCAAAAAACGCCTGATCTTGATGATATGGGAAGAAACATGACCCCCTTGCGGAGTTGACGCCAACATGCAGCAAAGCTGTTGGGTTCCTGACGACGCCGCTAGGTTGAACAATTTCCTGTTTGGTAAACCTTGAGCAACTCGTCGTTTTCTGTTGTTTTCTGTGATGTTGGAGTTGCCTGATGTGTTGGTGCGGAGCAGATTCCGTAGCAGGTGTTGAAAAGGCAGCTTTCCTTCTTTGGAAACTTCTGACCCCCCTCGTCCGCTGAAATCATTCTGCTTTCTTTCGCCCTGGCCCCTCCACTGGTCCGCTCTTGGATCGCCTGCAGCTTGCTGTCCAGCCGATCACAGAACTCCTTCCCGAGGGCTGCCTCCCAAATGTGTAGAAAAGCTTGGCTGAGGCATACTCGTGGACTCTTGTCCATCCTCACAAAGGTGAAAACGCTGGACAGACGGGCGAGGCGTGATGGCATGACGGTGACAGCATGACGGCACGATGGCATGCCACTGCCTCTTTACCCAAAGCAGCATTTTGAGCCTGCGAGTGCACATGACGTGTCGTTGGTGCACGCAAATGCGCCTACCACCAGGGAAAGTAATGATGACTAGTGCCCGGCGCAAACAAACAGACACACACACAGAGCAATGTGCCTTCGGCTGATTGCGGGGTCTGTTGCGTCGGTACGTCTTGTCCCACTGGCCCTGACAAGAGCAGGGGTAGGATCATCAAAGGTTGCTGTCACAAGTTTCGAATGTGCGCCTCTTCCAAGCTGGCAAAAGTGCCCTGGCTCGCGGTCAAATCCGGCAACTCCAAGTCGAGAACAGCAGCCGGATGCGGAGAAGCTGAGGCTATCACGCCAGAGTGGGCCGGGTACCTTTTGCGAGGCCAATGCAGTGGAGCGTCAAGGATTGGGGCAACCCTTCGTCTGGGAAGACACTCAGGTGGCCACGGTCCCGAAGAGTAGCTCACAGCGGGGGAAGACGTATTGGACCACTGCTGGTTCTGCAGAAATCAAGTCCAGAACACGAGCTGTTGCCACATCTCAGAGCCTGCGATGCTCCCGGGGCAAGTCCCTCAGGCGGGATGACGGGCCCTTGCACCTGCATCATCTGCATCGCCTGGCCATGAATTTCCATGCTCACCCGCTGAGTGCAAAACTGGACGCCTGGTCATAAGGTATCATGACACCCACAACCATTGCCGCCACGGCTTGCTGAGCCTGCTGAAACATGTCGCACAGCCAAGGAGCTGATTCACTTGTCCACAAGTCTGCAAACACTCTGCTGACAACGGATTGGTTCTACTGGAACTCAAGGCAACTCAGCGGGATGTCCTGCGATTGCATCTCAGGCACATAATATCCCAGCCCCTGCTGGGTTGGTTCTTGAATTGCCATCACTTCACACCTTGGCAGCATCTGCACACTGCAACGAGCATATAACAAGTTTAGCAGAGCTGTATTTCTCATGTGATGAAGTGTCGTGCAGGAGATGTGTGTTCTGAGGCCCTGACGCCATTGTCAAGCAAGCAAATCAAACAAACACCGCAATGGGTTAGAAGTTCGCAAGCTTTGACCACTCTTGATCTGCAAATGGCTGCCACGCATGTCCGGATGGGATCAACGCCACCCAAAGGGGGAGAGTTGGCAGGAAAGTTACATCAACACCCCAGTACGATGTTCAAGCTCTCCACACGTGTGCAATCTCATGAAGTGTTGATAGCATTGTTTGCGTGTGCGTGTGTCACTTCTTCGTGACTAAGGCAAGTGTTGGTTGGAATTCGATGGCAGAACATGGCTTGCCGCTTCAAACGATCCAAAACCAACGGCCGGAGCATGCGCGTTTGGCTAGAATCCCGTCAACTGACTAACCTTGCAACGATATGCTTTGTGGAAAGTTTTCTCTTGAGAGCTCATCATGTTTCTGTCAGCTCAGCCTAGTAGTGCTGTCAATTTGGAGGTGCAGCTTTTGGAACTTACACACAGCTGGTTTCTCGAATCCGCGGCAATCGTCTAAGATCGTTGGATTTGTCCCATGTGCTGTGTGGCAATTCATCGGCACTGTGTCAAATGCA